AAAATAAGAACCAAGAGACTCATGTAATGGTACAAGATCCCAATGATGAATGTAACTGTATTTTATACCTAAAATGTACCAACAAAGTTAATGGGAAAAAAAATACTGGTTCACTGAGTTATGCACATCTCCCAAATGCTGACACACTTTATTACACAATATAAAAACCAACTTCGTTAAGATCACCACTGGAGGACCGGGGATTTAGCTCAGTGGTTCCGGAGCCTACCTCGAAAGCACAAGGACCTGAGTTCGATCCCCCATACCCCAAAAAAAAAACAAGATCACCACTGGTGCTCATAGTAGTGGATAAAAGTTAGCCATAATTTTCTGAAAAATTGAATTTTATCATCTCAGCAACAAATATTGTCAGTTGATTTCCTTAAAGTGACAGGCTCATTTTGCTCACTTTCAAATAATTTCATTTAATGTAAAAACTAAAATCTAAATAACTATAGCTTTTTGGTCTTTCTTTTAAAAAGAAAGAAAAATATGCTTATTGGAAAAAAGTGGCTAATTTTAAGCTCAACAGCTCAACCACTCAAGGGTTCCTGTTGAGACAAGAGTCATCCTTCAGCACCCACAAAAGTGCTCCCTACAGTCGAAAAGACACATGCTCAGGAATGAGATTTATGTGATCAATTTCTACTGCTTCATCAAGAACATTCATCATGAAACTGGCTTTTTTTTTTTTAACTGAAAGTGCCTGGTAGTAAAGAAAACTGACCATTGCTGCAGTGTGTTGTGATTGTCTTGATTCATATGGGCCAGTGTACATTTGAGTCCAGTAAAACACCATCCACTTAGCTATGGGATTTAGAACATATTTATCTAATTTTTCAGAGCCTCAGTTTCTTCATCTGTGTACTGATGATAAAGTCCTCACCCATGCTCATAGATTTACCGAACAGCTGTGCAAAGGAAAGGTTAAATGCCATGCACAACATGTTGACACAGTGCCTGCTATGTAGTGGATGATGTTCAACACACACGAGAGAATTAACTAGCAGAGAGTCTGACTGCAGCAACGCTGGAGCAGCTGGCGGTCAAGGTGAGAAATGAAAACTCTGTTTTGTGATATTCTTACTTTGTTTTTCATCCAGAAAGACATCCAATTGCACAACAGTAACTTGGCTATGGGGTCTTATTTCTCAGGAATAAGAACAGAATTTCCTTTCACTGCAGGAGAGAGGCAGAATTACGGTGACCACAGGAAGGCGCTCAGGACTCCAACACACTCTGAGTTCCCACTGTGCATGGGAGTGACTGGTACCAGGGTGCCCCAATTGTTCTTAAGTTCAAGAACATGTCTGGAAACCTGTACTGAGCACTCTTAAGTCCTTTGAGAAAAACACTGTTGAGATTCTTATACTTGACCACAAATCAGGATTTCAATTTTCAGTAATAATGCACAGCAACCTGAAAGTTAAGAGTGACTCATTGCTTAGGGTGACGAGCTAACAGCTGGTTTTTGCTTTCTTTATAACGCATATTTTTTAGGTTTTCCTAGGATCGGCATTTTCTGTTAACTGCTGAGAAGTCATTTACATTTTTTAAAGGAAAAAAATCACAGAGGACTTGACTTAATTGTATCTTTATTGCAATTTTAAACCATTAGCTAGAATTTGAAAAGAAGAGAGCATTCACCTTGGCAAAGGGAGAAGATAGACTTCACTGTGGCTGCAGCCATTCATAAGAACTTTTAGGAAAGGACTGCCTGTCCCAAAGCCTCATCTGAGTGACAGAGCTTCCCTGGGGTGCGCGCATACGCGACCCTGGTCAGGTGAGGGTGAGTGCTGCTGCTCACTGGCGTCCGCGCTTGCCTAGCACAGGCCGCTCAGCTCCGTCATGGAGCAGCCCTCAGTGCAGCAGAGAGTTTGTAAGTCTCGTCTGGACATCGCCAAATGCTTCTTTGTCTCCCGCAGCCCCTCCGTGGGCACCTGTTCCTCCTGAACGAGCTCCTCTCCTGAGAAATCCAGCTTGGCGAGATTGCGCGCTAAGATTTCCTGGGAAGCCTCACGGTGCAAGTCGCTTCTTCTCTCCGCTGTAGGAAAGAGAAGGAAAGAATAGTGCACTACCTTCAAGAGCCCGGACAAAGGAGGCAGCAGTGATGCTCTGCTCTTGGAGACAGGAATTGGATTTCTGAGGCTGAAGCAGCAGGATGGAAAGTTCCAGCCCAGCCTGGGCAACTTAGCAAGACCCTGTCTCAAAAAAGGAGGGAGGGATGAGGTTGTAACTCAGTGTGAAGGCCCTGGAGCACTGGAAAAAACAGAAACACATGAAAAGTTTAAGACATAGTATACTAGGGTTTCAGTGGGGTTGCTGGTGTAAACACATACAGATACCCACTCCACTGCTCCTTAGGTCTCAGATATATTTCACATGTCTTTTTTTTCCCTAGTGCATTTTGGTTCCATTATTCCAGAGACTGATATAAATCCTGGTAAATTATGATTGCTCTCTTAAGATAAAAAAAATTATTATTTCTGTTAACATCTAGTAATATGTACTTCAACATAAACATGGTAATAGATGTTCATATTTCAATACATTAGCCCATAAAAATGTGAATACTGTGGGTCATTTTCTAAATTATGTTGTTTACCAAGTTCAGTTTCAGCCAAATTGAAACTCTTACAATCATATGTGTGGTTGCAACATGTATTATGTAATTAATTTTTCAAATTTTGGATTATAAATTTAGCAAATACAATCAATTATTAAAGTAGGATCTTTGAAAAGGCAGGTACAGAAAGACAAAGCTGTGTGATGTTATTCATCTGTGGACCTCAAAAGTTGACCTCACAGAACGGAGGATGTTGGGTACCAGGAGCTGGGGTGGGGCTGGGGGATTGTAGAATGTTGGCCAAAGAGTATAAAATTTTCTGTTGGATAGGAGGAAGATGCTTAAGAGAGCTAATGTACACACAGTGAATGTAGTTAATAGCAATGCATTGTAGTCTTGAAAATTGCTAAGACAGTGGATTTTAAGTGTTCGTATCAGGAAAAAGAAGCTAAGTATGCGAGGTCATACATATGTTAATTAGCTCAATATAGCCATTCCACAATGTACACAGTATTTAAAACACTGCTATGATAAATATATGCAACTTTTGCCAATGGAAAATAAATAATAAATAGACTCTTAACACTTTATATAGGATTAGGAGAAAGAATTCCAGTGGAACTTCTAAGTAACTCAATGCAGTGAAATCACCCTCATCACTGCGGCTGAACCCACGCGGCTGGTCCCGCCTTTGAACTGCGGTCCACAGCCCCTCCGGGTAGAATTCCCAGCCGGTTCCCCCACCCCTCACGACTCCCCTTCATTTAGGGTCCAGCACCACCGCCTCAACGCCATGGTCCCTTCTGTGGACCGGGCCTCGGGCAGGCCAGCCAGGGCTTCGCTCCCAGCCACACGGCCCACGAGCGGGTGAGGTTTCCCCTGGACAAAGCGGTAGCAGGCGCTCAGGTCACTCATTCCACGTCATCCTGATCTGAAGGCTGCACCCGAAACTGCCTGGCGCTTAGTCAGTGTCCGCAGAAGTCAGGTTCCTTCCTCCCATCCGTGCCCCACACCTGCCTGAGCTCCAGCTTCTCCTACTCCGTGATTCCCCCACCCTGGCACGTTCCCCGCACCTGCTGTACACCTGAGCTCACGGAGGCGGCCTCCATCAAGGGATCCCGGCAGAACACGACAGAACCCGGCCCTCACCTCGCTCCAAAGCCAATTCCCGTTTATTTTGATAACCCATCCCCTAAGGTGATAGAGCAGAGGCTCCTCTTAGAGGAACAGATACTAGGTAACCATTTAAAAGTAGTTTTTAGAAGAGAAAAGAGGCGCGAGAAAGGGAGCACAGAAAAGTGGGTTACCTTGCAGGCCTGGCAGGGTCCCCTCCGCCTGCCTTCTCCAGCGGGCAGTGGCACAGATGTAGACCACGGTCCTCACGTAGTCCAGGCCACACAGCTTCACCGTGTCCGTGCCCCTCACTTCGGAGACGGCAAACAGGACAGAGAACAGAAACAGGGTGAACACGGGGCCCCTCATTGTGCTGAGGCCCAAAGGATTCCCAAGTGGTGTGAACGGCCCAGTTGCGTTTTGAGGTTGCCTCAGCCTCTTGACCACTTTATACTGACCTCCCTGGCATTTTATTGGTCAGCAGGCCGTTTTAACGGTGTTTGCTGAGCACGTAGGCTGCACTCCGACGTCCTGATAATGAGCTTTCATGGCCATTGCCGATTGTGCCGCCCTTTGGGCACCAGTACTCACTGTTAGCTGCATCTGGGCCACAATAAACAGGAGCCACCGTGGCCACGTACAGACTCTGGAAGCAGCCAAGTATGAATTTCAGTCTCCACTTTGCCTGACTGATGGACACAGGCCAAGTTTTAAACTCTGCACACCTCAATAACCACATCTCTAGACCGAAAAACTTCACCTGAGCCAGGCAACACCAACGTCAAGACCGGCAAATCGCTGCATCATGAGGGTTGTAACGCCCTGCGTTTGATTCCAGGTGCCACAGATCTGGGATTTCAAGCAGGCTATATGAGGGCCCTTCTTTGTAACATTTGCTGATGACAGTAATTACCTCATAGAGCTAATGTGCTAGCATATTTTCTGCCTCACACAATGTGTTGACTTCTCTCTCCCTCAGAACAGACTAGAAAAGATAGAGATGGCTTCTCTTCATGGCTCACGGGACTTTCTCTAACTAGACTCTCCTTTTCTATCCTTTACCTATGATTAAGATTACCTTTCACAGCATGTATTTCTCATAGAAAGCTGAACCTATAATTCCAAACAGCTAAATAATGAAATTTTTTTTGGTTAAAAATCTCTGAAAACCCATTTTTGCAAAGCTCTTACCTGCACTAAGAAGGCTGGATTCAGAATCTTAAAGAATGGTCAATTCACTTTTTAGTAAGTTGGATAAACGGCTGTTTAGTTGATTCTGTATGTCTTTGTCTGTGAACCGTGGTTGAAAGAATCACCTCAAGTCTGTGGCTGGGTCCTGCCACCCAAGCCTCTTGTGCCAACCCTGGACACAAGTCTCAATTTGGCCCCGGGATAAGTTTAATGCCTCTGGATCTCAGTTTCTTCGTTTGCAAATTGGAGATGGTAACACTGACTTCATTCGGGTAATGTTAAGGACTAAATGATACAAAGAGTACTGATCAGAGAACTTTGAATAGTTTGATTATGAAGGACAACCACAATGCTGATAATCCCACCAAACATCGTCTGGGGGCTTTGAGTTAGAGTGCTAGCGTTTTAGTACTGATCTAATTTCTAGCTAAGAGACCTGGAGAAAGAATCTGACTTGTAATTCGATTCTGTAATTTTTTGAAAAGCATCACAAGATTAGTAAGGTAATGTTAATTATATCACTGGTAAATTACAAAGCACGTCACATATAATTATTATATGATAATTGAGATTACTATATGTAAATTCATGAGCAAACACTCATTTATTCTTATTTTCTACCTGCTCATCCTTGGCTAATACTCACTCTTAATGCTTCTAGTGGGAATCTTTATCTTGGCAGAACTATGCATCCAACTGGTCCTGGAAGTCATTCTCAACTCCTCTCCTCACTCTTCATTGAGGAAAGCTTTTCTTTTTCTGTACACAAGCTTCCATTAAATCACAAATCTCATCAGTTCTTCTGTCTGAATTTCCCTGCAACCTCTCACTCTCTGTCCTCTACCATGACCTCTACTTCCACTGGGACGGCTGCAGTGGTCCCCATTGACCCATCATCAAGCTATGTTCCTCATGGCTGCCCAGAATCATCTTTCTCAAGCACATGATTACTACCCACCTTGAAAACCCTCTGATAGTCTCCATTTCCCTCAAGGAAAAAGATTCCTTTCACCTGGCCTAGAAAATAGACCTTGGCCTCTCTACTAACTCAGATCAGCTAATTCAGACCCTCAAACTCCAAGTGCTCCCATGACACCAAACACTTTACAGATTTTAGAATTCCAGAATCTTTTGCTTTTCCTTTGTATGTGCTGAAACTCCTTTTCCTCTACGTTTAAAATCTGGTTAACTTCTCCAACTCTACAAAGATCTGGGAATGGATATTTAAAGCACATCCATATGGACAACTTTTTACATCTTTTTATGGGTTAACTTTCTTACCACTCCTTTTAGTGCTTTTTCAAATGCCCAATCAATAAGAATCAAAATGAGCAATTAACATGCAACTGAATGGCAAAACAAAAATAAAAATCAAGATAAAATAAAATAATAAAAGTATAGGCATAGGACCAGAATAGATATTTTTCAAACAAGTCATACAAGGGCCCAAGGTATATGAAAAGGTAGTCAACATCAAGAATCATTAGGAAGGGCCGGGGATTTAGCTCAGTGGTTCCGGTGCCTGCCTCGTAAGCACAAGGTCCCAAGTTCGATCCCCGGTACCAAAAAAAAAAAAAAGAATCATTAGGAAAATACAAATCAAATACACAATGAAATATCATCTCACATGTCAGGAAGGCTGTTCTCCAAAAGACAGAGGCAAGTGTTGGCATGGACATGGAGTAAAAGAAATTCTTGCATGCTGTTGGTGGGAATATATACTGGTACAGCTATTATAGAGAGCAGTACCCAAGTTCCTCAAAAATTAACAATGGAGCTACCTTGTGATTCAAGAGTTACACTTTTGGCTATATATTGAAAAGAAATGAAATCCAAATGTCAAAGAGATTTCTGCATGCCCATGTTACAGCAACATTATTCACAATAATTAAAATATGGAATCAGCCTTCATGTTTATTGGTGAATGAATGGATAAATAATATGTAGTTTGTGTGTGCATGACTGTATATATAGATGTGTATGCATTTTAAAATATATCTTAGAAAACAAAAATTGATACATCAAGCTTTATTTTGGGATAGAATATAGACGGGGGACAGCTATTTTTTTAATGTCTTTGTTGTCATTTTGGCCTTTTAGAAATTAATACTCAATAAATAATCAAAATATGTGCAATAGTTTGGAAAATTCAAGGAAATTATTATCAGTGAGGTCCAGTGTAAAGCCCTGAAAACATCCTAGGATCCTCTGTTCTTCCTGGTATAAGAGCGCTGTAGCTTTCAACAGCTGACTCATTCAAAAAGAACACATATGTGATGTAAGCACATCTTTCACCATTTGTTCTGAATGCCACATAAATGTCCTGTCAATATTTTAAAAGCCATGATCATTTTTATAGGATTCAGAACAATATTTTATATGATTCAACTTAGTGGACATGCTGCACTTTCTACTTAACCCAGGAGCTGGTTTCATATAAACTGTCAGCTTTTTAGTTTTATTGCCAAATGAGAATGTCAACCTAGAGCCGTGAAGGCCGATAGCCTAGTAAACATTCTGTGGGTTCTGGGGAAGATTTGAACATGGTACAAAATTCTGAACAAACAAGACGTGGACCCGAAATGTTATGTGCATAGACTGCGTCTCCTGGAGGAGAGGACAGCTCGGAGCCAACTGCCATCAGCAAAGAGGTCTCAAAAGACCTGGCTCTGGGGACGTGGCTCTGGGACAATGCGAACAGGAGCTGCTGCATCTGAGCACCTGCTGTGTACCCACATTTTTCTAGGTCTTTCTAGGTCTTTCACCTTGGAGATATATCGCTCCCCGGTAGCCCGCAGGAGCACAGTCTCACAAAGCAGCTACTATGATAGGCACCAAAAGAAAGTGATCACAGATCCGCTTTTACTTTTCTCTTAAGGGGAGGGGTGATTTTTTATTGCTATAGAACAAAGAAAGCTATGAGGATGTTGTTCAGTTTCCCAGGGTGATTTTATGTTCTCTGTATTTTCCGCAGTTTTAAATGTTTTATTCTCTCTGATGTTTAGGCCAGGCATGGAGATGCACATCTGAAGGTCCAAGAAGAGCATTTGAAAGGCTCAGGCAAGAGGATTACAACTTCAAGGGCAGGATGGGGACTTCAGCGAGATCAGAAAGAAAGGCAGGAAGGAGAAGAAGTGGGGGAGGAAGAAGAGGAAAGGGAGGAAGAGGAAGAGAAGGAGGAGGGGGAGGAGGAGGAGGGAAAAAGAAGGAAGGACAGAAGTGGGGGGAAGAGGGAGGAGCTCAGAGCTCCCTGGGTTCAATTCTCAAGTGCTTCAGTTTTTAAAAAGGAATCTTGGGCCTGGGATTTAGCTCAGTGGTTCCGCCACCTGCCCCACAAGGGCAAGGATCAGAAAAAAGTGTGGGGGGGATATTAAGAAGTGAGACAAACATGAAACCAGAGTTTCCCCTTCGACAGTTCATTTGCTCCACAAGTACGTGCTGCACCTCCACCCTGTGGAGGTGCTGTTCTAGACGTCAGAGACACAACATGGTTTACAGTCTACCCTCAAGGAGCTTACAGTCTAGGTTAGAGGCAGACACTCAGCAAGTGAACACAAATAAATACTTAGCATAGCAGGTATAAGTCTCAGTTTAGAGACCCAGCTATATAAGAAAAATATCTGTGTCTTCTATAGCTCGGTGCAGTTTTTCATTCCAAGTCTCCATTCCACTCAGCTGGCAGGAACAAACCACATGCACAGCAGGCTAATGTCCATCCAGCTTGGGTTTCCTTGATTTCCTTCCCTGTCCCTGGACATCACAGTAGCATCTGACTCTATGCCCAGGACCTTCTCTAAGAGCTGGCTCTTCCTCAGTGCTCGGCTTCCTCGATTCCAGTAGCTTTTGGTTGTTTTCTGCACACTACTCCATGCATGGGGAATGGTTTTCAAAGTTGACTGCACCTCTCCCCGGTCATCCTCCCTCCTGGACAATGCCTTTTAGAAGCCTGGCCTGCATCTCCTCTGCTCTGTGGATCCACAGCCCTCCGTTTACTTAATCTCCCACCCCTACCATATCTGAAGAAAGTATGTATTTCTTTTTATGCTTAAGATGTGTTCTATATCCAGATACTTTTCCGTAGTTCTATGGTTTTACAGAGTATGATGAATACCTTTGATTTACTGTGATGGTATATGTTTCCTTGAACTTAGCATAGAACCAGCAACTTGAGAGGAGAAAGGCAATGACAAACAACTGGGATTGAAAAGTAAA